ATTCTTTAATCAAAAGCGGAGTACAATGAGTATTACATCACGTATTTATAGACTACAACTAATAGGCTATTTAACATACACTTAACCTATTTATTCTACTACATCACATACAATATAAATAATCAAGTTGTTCCTATCTCTAGCAGCTTTAGCTTTTAGATGAGTTGGTGATCAATGATTTAATAAAAAAACCAACCACCGCAAAAACTCAATCCTAGAAACACTTTACAAGGAGGCTAACCTGGAGTTCCAAGGATGTCTCTGTGTGAGGCTAAGTGTAGAGGTGTGATCGTAATACTGTATACAATCAAAGTGTATAACACAGATAATAATTTATGCCTTTTATGATATCTTCATGACTGCAAGAGGAGCAAATTCTCCACCCAAAGGTGTAAAAGTCTCTCAAGCTCACTCTTTTACACGAGGTGAGTAACCGCTTTGGAAAGTGGTTTGGAGAGTGTATATGCACTCTTATAGATTTTTATATTCAAAGATACTAAATGAGGGCATTTGATATATATTGCCTTAGCCCAACAACAGTTAGCGAAGTTTTGTTTTTTTATAAAAAAAAATGCTAGCATAGTTGACCACATTGACTTAGATGGTTAGTCATCTGTGGTTTGGCCTTGTTGCCTACCTCTGGTCGACCACGCTCCGCTGCATGGTCGATAAAGTTGAGAAATTTAGGCTTGTGTAGCCTTTGCTTGTCCTATCCTAAGTCATCACCTTTTCCAAAGCCTTCTTCCTGTCAATGAAGCTCTTTCATAGCACTCCAATGATGTCAATAAAGATCTCCCATAACATTTCAAACTTAATAGGGTAATGTAGACAATTCAATTGTCTCATTTGGTGCAAGTTTTTGTAAGCTAAAGTTGATAATTAGAAAGAGAAGATAAAAAAATCCTCACCCAGCTTTCGATAATGTTTATTTAAGCTATTATTACCTCATAAGTTGTAAAATGAAGTTTCATCAAATACTTTGGTATGTATCCCCAAAATTTAAAAAATAAGTAAATTGTAAACAACCCCAATAAGCTGTACGAAACAGGAATAATGTGCTCTCCTCATGGTAGTGGCTTTGGTTCTATGTAAGCTTTGCATATAGAAGTCATGAAATTTCCAACCTATTGCTATTACTAACACTACACATTTTAAGGGAGGGAAAATGAAATGTAACAAAAAAAAATCTTTTATCGAAAGAAATTTTTTTCCTAGGTTAAACTTGAATAGTTGTTTGACAATTTCAAGTAGGGACGAAGTTAGGGGGGCCGCCAAGGGTGGCCATGGCACCCCCTAAACTTTTCAAAATTATCACTTAGGCCCATACTTTATGAACAATTTGATATTCTATATGAAATAATTTTGAAAGAAATTTCCTATTAATTCCCTATATAAGTACTCTTACAATGCATATACGATGACCCCAAACTACTTGCATATTATATAATAGTATCAATCCTATTGATTTCATTATTTTTTAAATTATTCATAAAGATAGAATTTGTATTAGCATTTCATTAATTGATACAAATACAATTTTTTTTAAAAATTGTATTTGTATCAATTAATGAAATGCTAATACAAATTCTATCTTTATGAATAATTTAAAAAATAATGAAATCAATAGGATTGATACTATTATATAATATGCAAGTAGTTTGGGGTCATCGTATATGCATTGTAAGAGTACTTATATAGGGAATTAATAGGAAATTTCTTTCAAAATTATTTCATATAGAATATCAAATTGTTCATAAAGTATGGGCCTAAGTGATAATTTTGAAAAGTTTAGGGGGTGCCATGGCCACCCTTGGCAACCCCCCTAACTTCGTCCCTACTTGAAATTGTCAAACAACTATTCAAGTTTAACCTAGGAGATTAAGTATCCAAAACAAATATAATATGAATATGACTACGTTGCTGAAGTATTTGAGTTTCCTAGGGTAGAACATAATTATCTTCACTCTGGTTATTCCTTTATCTTGAAAATATATATATTTTTTTTGCTGGTTCAATGTTGTATTTTCATTGTATTGAATCTTCAATAGTTTAAAGGTGGGTCATGAGTTAGATTTTAGGGTATGAATAGAAGTGGAACATTTTCCAATGTTTGAGCATGGTAGGTTAAAGGGTAGTTGTGATATTTAGGCAGTAAAATATGCATTTTTTACATCTATCTGTACTATTATTAAGTGAAGGCCTAAATTGGTTTAGTGAAGGCATAAATTGGTTTAGTGACGCCTTCTTCTCCTCATATCACGTGGTAACTTTATATATGCTAAAATAATAAAAAAAATTAGTATACACAGCGTAAGTTTTGAACCCAAGACCTTGGGTTTTATTAAGAACATACTTATCACTTAAGCAACATACACATTATGATGTTAAATTCTTTATTTTTTATTTTTATTATTAATTATCTGAATTGCATATGCATTGCGTGTGCCACCCACTAGTAGTATTTATGAGATCGTTTGATTCTTCTTATACATGCGTGCATAAATATATATATATGTGTGTGTGTGTGTGTGTGTGTGTGTGTGTGTGTGTGTGTATTACAGGTGGCAAATGGGCGGGTATGGGCAGGTCAAAACGGATTATGCATTTAAAGCAACCCAACCCAAACCCGCCCATTTAATAAATGGACTTAAACGGGTTGGGTTGAATTGGATACGGGTTGGACAAATGAACTCAACTAACCCATTTACTTCGTCTCTTTTTTAATTTTTTTTTAATATTTTCAATTTTTAATATTTTTTTGATGACAACGATGGAAGTGACGGAGCGGAGGTGGTGGATTGACAGTAGTAGAGGAGGAGGTGGTGTGTCGACGGTGGTGGTGATGGAGTGGCAGTGGTGGTGGTAGTGTGTCGGCGATGGTGGTAGTGGTGGTGGAATGGCAGCGGCGGTGGTGAAGTGGCGGTGGAGGTGGATTGGTGGTAGAAGTGGTGCCCATTTAGACAGGCTTAAATGGATACCCATATCCAATCCATGTAAACCCAATTTTAATTGGGTTGACAATGGGCAACCCATTTAAGCCCATTACATGGGTATACTTGGGCGGGTTCATGGGTTTGGGTTGTTTGCCACCTCTAATATATATATTTGTTATTTGATTCTTCTGTAATATGTTCTTGTGAATGTGCACATCATTTTTACAATATAAAGTGCAATTGTATGATTAGAGGCCTCCCCCCCCCTCCCCCCCAAAAAAAGAAGCAAAAAGCACGATCATTGTAACATTAAACCTCTATAAGAACAACCTTGGAAATGTCGAGTTTCTAAGTTTTAAATGTAGCGTAGGGTGTAAGAAGGGCTTTGGTATAGCACATTCTATGTAATGAGTGCTTATGGGGCAAAGGGAATTATCACCAATGTCAAATGTTCATCAACTGGCATTAGTGGGGCTACAAACGAGTCGAGCCAAGCCGAGCTTTAATATGTTTGGACTTGTTTATTAAGATTTTAACGAACTCAAGCTCGAGCTCAATAAAAATTTACCAAACCAAGCTCAAGTTGAGTTGACTTAGGTTTGACTCGAGCTCGAGCCTATTCACGAGCCTTAACGAGCCAAAAAATAAATAAATTCATATTTGCGTATGAAACTAAAGTTACAATTAAAACTTTGATTATACAATTATATAAACATTCTAAAAAAAAGTCAATATTTTACCAAAATAATAATATCTACTACCACTATTATATAAATGTACTATCTATAGTTAACTATTATTTACATTTATATTTTTTCAATATATAAATAACATATTTATCTTATTTTTTATACATATTTTTACATTATGTAATATATAAATAATAAATATTAAACGAGCCAGCTAACAAGCCGAGTTTTAGAATGTTTGGGCTTATTTATTAAAAATTTAACGAGTTCGAGCTCGAACATAAAAAAATTAACGAACCAAATTCGAACGAGCACTTACCGAGCCGAGATCGAGCTTGTTCACGAACAGCTCTGTTCATATGTAGCCCTAGGCATTTAGGAAGTAAGGTGTAGGAACCAAGAAGGTGTACCTTTTGTCTTTTTGTCAACATTTATGGAACAGCATTTGTTTGTATAATTGTAAAAGCTTGGTCAAAAAGGAGAATTCAATTGTTTTTCTATAGTGATATGTGAATCTCATACAGAGTTTAAGTTGTCGATGTTGGGTAAACTTTACCAAACTGACATAATTTGTGAGTTATAATGGGAAATTGTGAATTTACTTATTTTTGTTATTATTCTGCTACGTCATTGTAATTGGAGGTTGGTCGAGTGTGTGGCTGCTATATGCTCCTTGCATTGTAGACTTTACTATAGCTAATGGAAACTTGTGCATGACAGAGGAGACTTAGGATAGTCACTTTATACTAGTATTGAATGAGGAAAAACTCGTTACCTTGCCTTCTTTTTCTTACTTGTGCCTTTTAACTGTTTTATATTCTCCTGGTAGATGTGAATATAATAGTTTGTTTAATTTGTCATATCTCAGTTTTTCTACCCCCCTTTTTAGTAAATTTTTTGAAATTGGCATTTGGTAATGTGTACTTATTTTTGTTTACAGAAAATGAATGCATGTTTATGTTTATTTTTGTTAAAAATAAAAACCAAAAAAAAATTGTTTGGTACGAACGTATGTTTTCAAAACATACAGAAACATAAACAAGAAAACATGTTTCGTGAGTCGTCAGAGAGGGTGGCTGGCAGGAGCAGGTGGGCCAGTGGGAGGAGGTTGCCGGAGGTGGTGGCTAGCGGGAGGGGGGAGGCCGGGATGGGGTGGAGGAAGAGGATAGAATGAAAACTGTTTTCAAAACAAGTGAAAACACAATTTGTTTTATTCCTAAAATTTTGTAAGACTTGAAATTGTTTGCACTCTTTTGGATTCAAAAGAGCTGTCAAACTAGTTTTCATTTATAGTTTTCAAATCTATTGAAAATAAAAACAGAAAATAATAAACATAAATGTTACCAAACATTAATTCTTGTCTCTCCTAATCTGGCAGGTTATCATTGGGAGAGAGCCTGGATGGTATAAAAGGTTCCTTCAACTACTAGACGAATCGAATATAAAGTGGCAACTGTGTAGTCCGATTGTGTTGGTTGTGTTGAGTGTCTGTTTTTCAATCAAAAAACACCGGCTTGTATATTTATGTATTGGAATTTTTTCTCATTCCTTTGTTTGACAATTTGTTTTATTTCTGATGTTTGAAGCAATCTTCAAATTGATGCAATTCAGCTAGAGTTCAGACAGATCCTAGTTCACTTGATGTCCAACAGAGGTAGTAAGTACACACTTTAGACCCATGTCATTGTGATATATGTATGTACCAATCAGACCTGACCTAATTTTTAATGTCATAATTAGGGCATCACCTGTTCTAACATTTTACCCATAATATCAAAATTTAAATTAGTAGAAACTTTTGAAAAATCTCCACTCTTTTACTCAGAGAGACTATTTAACTTATTACATTGATTGATGATTCAAGCAACTATAGCTTGCTCTCTCTATGAAGTTTGCTCACTCCCTCTCACTCTCCCTCTCCCTCTCCCTCTCTTTTAACTGAAAGCCATCCATTCCATCTCTCTCTCTCTCTCACAAATTTGTATTCAGGTTTTTGTAGGGAACAAATGTTTCTTGATTTCGCTCTTTTTGGCTATCAAAATCAGTTCCTTTGATTTTTTACTCTTCCTCTACAAGTTTCATTTTTCTTGATAATCCTTGCAATTCCCAATTTCTCTCAATATAATCCTTTAATTGTCACCGTCTATAATTTTTTCTTTATTTTGTGCCAAAATTCAAAAAGAGAACAACACAGCCACATATATATATATAAGAACCGCTTAGATGTTTGAGGTTCATCTTTTCTTTTCAATTTTGTCCTTTCATTTTGAATAATTTACTAATGGTGGCTTATATGTTGAGTGAAAGTTTTTTTTGTAATTATGCAAACATTGTTGGTCAATTATGAAATAGGTTTTTTTTGGTATTTATGCAAATATTTTTGGTCAATTATGAAACATAAATTTTTTAATTTTTAACAAATTACAAGCACACCTATAAAGTTTGTTTAGGTCTTAAAATATTAGAAATTACAATTATCATTTGTTATAAAATTTAATTGAACACAATACTCCAGGGAAAAAAAAAAACCTATTCTCCTATGTAATAATAAATTATCAAAATTGTTTATTAAAAAATATTTCTCATATCAATAAAAATTGTTAATTAACTTAATGATTTATTTGTTAATAAAATGGTTAATTGAAAAATATTTTTCATATTATTAAAAATTATTAATTTACTTAATGATTTTACTTATTAACAAAATTGATCATTTGTCATGCGAGTAGATTATATATTAATAAAATGGGGGCTTTGGTGATAGACCCCTCACTGTCTAATTTATCTTTCGAAAGGACAAGAATTATATAGATACTTTCAAAACCCTCTAATATTTTGAAACTTGTTTCTTTTATTATATCACCTTCATATCTATCAGCTCTCTTATTAAGTCATCTTCACAGTGTATTTTAGAGTAAAATTTTACTTTGAATCATAGTAAACTTTACTCTGATTCAGAGTAAGATTCAAAGTAAAATTTTATATTTTTAAGCAAATCATGTTTTTAACCATAGTAAAATTTCAGAGTAAAATTTTATATCGTTAAGCAAATCAACATATTTTTAACCACAGTAAAATTTTACTCTGAAAATATAATTTTACTATCATTATATAATTCAAATCTGCAATGAATTGATAGTAAAATTTTACTATCATTAGGAGTCCAAAAACAAATAATAGAAGTACACAATAACAGAGTAAAAGTTTACTATCATTGTATAAAAAAAACAATAAAAAACAGAATAGATAACACCAAAGTAAAAGTTTACTCTCATTTTATCAAACAAAAATAGAGCACATACTAGAGTAAAATTTTACCCGCATTCTGTCAAGCAAAAACAGAGCACAACTCCGAGTAAAATTTTACTCTCATTCTGTCAAACAAAAATAGAGCACAAACCAGAGTAAAATTTTACTCTCATTCTGTCAAATAAAAACTAGAGCACACACTTGATTGAACTCGGCAAATCAACAAAAATAAATCAAAAACAAAAATAAAAAAACTAATCAATATATATCGAAGATTAAATAGTGACATCGAACCAAAGGTGAGGATCAAGTTATCAATCCAGATCTTAGGCAAAATTTTGAGCTACAAGGTTGACTCCAAATCAAAACTCAAAATCGAGTTTGTAATGGTGAAATTACACCAAATTCGAAATGCCACAAACTAGATCTGAGATGTTATTAATCGAATCCAGATTTGAGATGTTATTAGTTGAATCAACCTTACCCAAGCCCCTTAAGCATAGATTGCAAACTCAAATTAGGGCTCCTCTCATTTCACAAATTGAACTGAGGACTGAAGGAAGAGGGAGAACCTTTGTTGGAATTTCAGTCCAATAAACAAGTGAATGCAGTATGGTAGAGGTGCATGAAGCCTCTAGTTTCTTCAATTCTAGGGTTTTTAGAAGAGAAATGGAAGGCTTGATTGACATTGGATGCGGAGGAAGGGGTGACACCGGGAATCATGGTGGTTGGTGGCCGGAATACATTGCGGACGGTGCTCCAGCGGCTGAGGTGGCCTTTGACATGGCTATAAAGAGAAGCTGTGTTTAGAGGGGGAGGAGAGAGATGGAGAAGGTGGGGAGAGAGTGGGGGGAGAAGGTAGGTAGATTTAGTTGATGGTATAGTAGTCTGATAAAATATTTAAATAATAAATTTTGTCCTTTATGCAAGATTTTATAATTACGAGAGGGTTTAGAAAGTATAATTTTTTTCTTAGTCCTTTTAACAATGAAATGAAGGTAAGGGGAGTTTATAGCCAAATTTCCCTAATAAAATTAGTCATTTGTATATATATGTATTTTCTTCTGTTTCTTTATTAGTTCAGTGTCTTATCTTAATAGTTTTTTTTTTTAGATGAGAGAATTATCTTAGTATTTGTTTTGTATTTATCAGTTGAGAAAAGCTACACACCATAAGTTTTTTTTTTATTATAAATTTGGAAGAAATGTTAAAAACTTATAAATTCATCCAAAATGATATGGTAATAGAATTGGAGTCAACATCATTGTGTGTATAATAAATTAAAAAATGATACATATCATACCATATAATTCTATAATATATCTAATTATTTACTTTATTCAATTTTATAGAACAATATTTTAATTTTAAAAAAAATTATTAAAATACAAAACTTAAACATGTAGTAATAACACATGCCTTACATAGACCTGTGTAAACTAATATAGCAATAAATGTCAGAATGGTTGTACCGTGTAAGAAAACCCAATGTAGAGCTGCATTTTCTGCTCTCTCTCTCTCTCTGCACTTTGTTTTCGTTTTGACATTATATAACATCTCCTCACTTCACTTGCATGAGAATGTTGTAGATTTTTCTCGGTAATATAGTTGTTTGGTGGAGATTGAATTGATACAATATATTCATATATAGATAAATCTAAGTCAATGATTGATGTTTTTAAGGTAAAATTCAAAATAAAACTTCTAGATTCGTAGTATTACCGCATTTAGCAGTGTTCCCTACCAACCTTGCACTCCTTATTGATGGGTAAAACAACAAAACACAATTTATTTAGAAATTGGCCTGACAAGGCCTAAGTCCGGGCCAAGGCCCTTGAAGGCAAGTTAGGTTGGGCTTGAGCCAAGGCCTTTGAAGGTTTGACACGACCAGGGGTGTAGGAAATTGGCCTGACAAGGCCTAAGCCCGGGCTATGGCCCAAATCCCCCCTAGTGACATGGGCTGGACTTGTGCTGTGGTTTCAGGAATTGGCCTGCCTGAAATTCGGGCCTTCGTACCCTCACTTCTATTGATATTTTTAGAGATTATTTTCTTGTACTCCTATACTTTTACACGATTTTCAATGATTCTCCAGACTATTCTTATTCACTCGTACCCCCATACTATTTAAATTACTATCAATTTTGTCCCTGTCGTCACATTTGAAATAGAAAACGTTAAAAAAAATTACATTTTAGCCCCAAATTTCAAAATAAAGATGCAAACCCACCATTTCCTACCAGCAAACCACCACCACCAACCACCACTTCAAGCCCTTCTATCTTCTTCATCATAACTCCGTTTCGCCTCATTTTTACGTCGTTGGATTCAACTCATGGTCTAGTTTTCGTATCACATCTCACACGTCTCGTTCTTCCTCTTTTTGCATGCTATCGGAGCTCCGAAATTTGATTAAAAAAAAAAGACTTTTCTTCTCATTCTCGACTTTTCTTCAAGCCATCTTTCGGACTTCATATCTTTCTCGATTCTTGACGGTTCTAGTTTATTCTTTCGTCATTCTCCTCACCTCACTTCCTACTTCACCTTACATTACCTCGCTCTCTCACTTCTTCGTATAGTGGGCAGTTTTGGTATGCCGAAAGTTGTTCGAAAACTAATTTCAAAAATTTCAAAACATTCATCTTTTGTTTCTTTCTTCTCCTTCTTCTTCACTTATAACATGATGTAAAACATAGTTCTAGGTGGTAACGGAGCTGGTGATAGTAATGGTGGCGGTCTGGCGATGGTGACGGCGCTCGCGATGATGGCGGTCGTGGAGTTTGAAGGTAGTAGTAATGGAATTTGCTTGTAAAAGAGGTGGGTTTGGTGTTGAAAGGTGGTGGTGACGGTGATGCTCATGGTGGCATTGGCATTCCATTCTAATTTTCAACATACCAAACGTGCTCCAAATCTTATACAACCAGTGATTAAGTCCGAATGTGTTTCACCTCATGAAACTGGACCAAGAGACCTCAAGAAATTATCTATTATTAGAAAACCACATTCAACGCTATTAATCACTGAGCTACCCGTGTGGGTTAAATCTATGGAACATGTCATATTTTTTCTAATTTCAACTAAAAATTTATCACTATCTCTATTGTCAATAAATATATGAACAAGCCAATCACCATTTAAAATTAGAAAAAAAAATTACAGTAAAAAAAAAAACATATATAACTATATATAGATGAGAGAGAAAATAGTTTTATCAAAGCTTGAATACAAATACATGACTTTCAATTACATCACTTTTAAATCAATAGTACCAATTTCATACTATACAATCACAACAAAAACTAGGTCCTCATTTGCGACAAATCTTTGTGATGACAAGTCTTCGGTGGATTGTACGTTGAAAGTCACATTTGGTGTATTTTGTTCGGGGTGGTGATGTTGGTGAAGTTGGTGGTTCGGGTGCTGATGTTAGAGAAGTTGATGAAGTTGGTGGTTTGGGTGGTCGGTTACCTCCTAGAACCATGCTCTATATCATGTTATAAGTGAAGAAGAAAAAGTAGAATGAGGAAGATGGAGGAGAAAGAAAAAAAAGGTGAATGTTTTGAAATTTTCAAAATTAGTTTTCAGACAAATTTCGGCATACCAAAACTGCCCATTACACGAAGAAGTGAGAAAGCGAGGTGTGTAGGGCGAAGTAGGAAGTGAGGTGAAGAGAATGGTGAAAGAATGAAGTAGAATCGTCAAGAATCGAGAAAGATATGAAGTCCGAAAGATGGCTCGAAGAAAAGTCGAAAACGAGAATAAAAGTTTTATTTTTTTTATCAACTTTCGGAGCTCCGATAGCAAGCAAAAAGATGAAGGACGAGACGTGTGAGATGTGATACGAAAACTAGACCGTGAGTTGAATCCAACGACGTAAAAATGAGATGAAACGGAGTTATGACAAAGGAGATAGAAGGGCTTGAAGTGGTGATTGCTGGTGGTGGTTTGCTAGTAGGAAATGGTGGGTCTATATATTTCTTTTGAAATTTGCGGCTAAAATGTAATTTTTTAAACTTTTTCTGTTTCAAATCTGACGGCAGGAGCAAAATTGATAGTAACTTAAATAGTATAGGGGTACGCGTGAAAATAAGAGTAGTTTGGGGATCATTGAAAATCGTGACAAAATATAGGGGTAAAAATAAAATAATCTCATATTTCCATCATCAACTTGTCACATACCAAGAAAAAATTACCCATAATTTTACCGAGAATTCAAATTTATAAACAAGATTCATTTTGTATTTAACAACGCATTCATTTTAAATCTATATCATAAAATTCACATTTAAATTCTGGATAAATTTTCAATGGTACCTAGAAAATCACATAAAAGGGTCACAACTTCTAATTAATCAGTTACTCAGCAAAGCCTCTGTATATTCCAACCATTTTGGATAAATTGATATGCAACTTCCAGCTTTCCACGAAAAAGAGGGTGCACAATGATATTCAGTGATGCTTTTACAAGTCGGTTCGTGTTTCATATAAAATGCTGACAAATATATCACAAAAGGCAGCATGACTACTGATCAATATAATTAACCTAACAAAATCTTGACATCTGCGGATACTAACATTCACTTTTCCTATACGGACGGCCACATCATCTCCACATCAATGTCTCTTAGTGATATGTCATGTTGTGTCAATATCGTTAGGTAACATATAGGTGAATAACATATCTCTAGGTGTGTAAACGGTTCGATTCGGTCAATGTTAAGAGTATATTTAGTACCGAACCGATCCTTACAGTTTTTATGATTGAAAAACCGATACAGACCGTATGCTATGGTTCAGTTTTATCAGTTTTGTCGATTTGATGTAGAAGAGAAATTAATATTAAGTTTTAAAAAGTTTTATAATAGATTTTACATTAAAAATAAATGAAAATTGCTCTATAAATAATTTTCTCCCTAATTTTTATCAAAAAAGTGTATTATATTAGTTACTTCTCATATAATGTTTGAGAAATTATACTATCAAAATATTTTTTTAAAAAAAGATCGGTTCGGCTTACATTTTATAAAAAGTTTCAAAATCAAAACAAATGGTATGTTATAAAAAACAAACCGAAAATTAAAATTTTGATCGGTTTCAATCTGTTGGCTCGGTTTTATTAGTTTTTTTTACATCCCTACATCTCTCCAAATATAGGAGAAATTTACAATGTGCATCCTTCAAATGATGCACATTATAAAAAAGTTATGATTTTTTATGATGAACGTTATAATTGTTTGTGATGTGTGTTATGACATTTTGTAGTAAAGTTATAAATAGCAAATTTATGATGTGCATCCTAAAATTAGAAATGATAATGTTATGACACTTTGAGATTTTGTTATGACATTTTTCAGTAAAAAAAAAGTTAGGACTTTTGTAGTAAAAAAGTTATGACATCTTAGATTTAGCTTATGAAATTTTGTAAAAAAATTATGAAAGACATACTATATGCACCTTTTTGAGAGTGCACATTGTAACATCTCCCCCAAATATACCCACCTGTAAAACGCCAAGGACTAAAAATAAAGATTGCCTCACTTGGCTTGGTGTCAAGGTGTGCCCATCCAACACCTTGATGCCACACACATTTGTGCCCTTTGGAGAGCCAAAGACATGCCTAAGAAGTTGTTGGTGCAAGTGCAAGCAAAGGCCCAGGGCATAGTGCAACATTGTCCAAGACATGCCATGAAGCAAGCTAGCCACCAAGTAGCAACTTTAGGCCAACTTTTGGGGGGTCAAATGTAATCTTTTTGCCTTGTAAATTTTTATGTAAATACCTTAGTATTAAAGTTGTTTTGAGACCAAGAGTTGTAGTTTTTCTATTTTTGTAGAATTTTTAAAAATTCATTATGACTTCTCAAACATAGTGGATGTTTCCTCCTACCAGCTAGGAAATTGCTTAACAAGTTATATATAAAGAGGGGGTACCCAAGTGTTGAACCAGACCACTTATGCCTTTAATGTACCCCAACCTAGCTTATGGTAAGGCAACTTTTGTAGCACTTTGAGTGCATTGTTCAACTATTGTAATGCCTTCGTTTAAGTAATGAAAAGTTCATTTCACCTTTAAGTTGTGCAATGCCTTTCAATTGTTGCTTACTTTAATTTTAGCTTGTTGATTGCTATTTTGTGGCTTGTCTCCAAACTTGTGGCTCATCAACTAAACTAATATTGTGTTTGCTTGTCTTTGCAAACCTCTTGAGCTTCATCGGCGGGCTAGTGAAGAGAGTTAACTAGCGCCACACACACTTGCATATCTTTATCAAGGCTTCCGCATTGCTGGTGCGTGACACTTGGCCAAAATCTCCCCAAGCAAGCGATTGCCTAATCTCCAAAATGGTTATCACCATGGACCTTCCCAATATTATCAACAAGTGATATGGATCAAACCTTGTGATCAGCTAGTCTCCTTGACCTTTCAACTGCTATCTTCTCTATCTTAGAGACTGCCTTTGGCTTTCTCTGCTGCCTCTGATAGTCCCCTTTGCCAACTGAACACCTACCATCCTCCCAGATCATCCTGTCCTAGCCACCCCCGACACTGTCATCCCCAATATCTACAACTAATCTGAAAGGATGGATTCGGAGACTTCTAAATCTAATCGTTGAAGATATCAGTGACAACAAATTGGATTAAATGATATGGGAAAATAAAATAAAATTTTCAACACGATAAAACAAGTTTCATTGGTCAAAATCCCGTCATGGAAAATTAAACATGTAAAGGACAACCTGTGATAAAAGTATTCTGCTATCATTTGCAATTACTGTATATGCATATGCAAGACATCTGCAAACTTACAGTTGGGAAACTCTATACAAGCCTTGTGTGGGAGGCAGATATAGTATAGTCTGTCTTAATAGAATTAACTTTTGAGGAACATCTTTCTGAACTCATCATTGGATTTTGGCGTCTGGTCTTCCCATTCCGGAGCTTCCTCGGTTTTTTGTTTATTCTTGTCAGTCCAACCAAGGGGTCTGACATTTCTTGGCACTGCAAATGTGTTCTTCCCCTTGAGCTGGACATTGTCAACTGCATGCCGACGATAAGCAGACTGTGGCTGAGCCGCCAAGGTCGCATTAGATACATCAGATGAATCTTTAGAGTCAGATTCGCCAACTGTATTTGTTTGTCCATTTGTATGCCCCGACATTTCACCTTCCAAAGCGAAGAAGAATTAAAAGTGTGGTTGAAAGGGCAAGATGAACCACCATAACAAAGAAAAGCAGAAAACACCCAAAAATAAAATAACATATAGTTGAACAACAAGAGAAGACTCCGTTAAGAATGACAGGACCAATCCATCCACTACCCACATGGTAATGGAACCACCATTAACATAGTGTGGGTAGCACCATGTTGTAAAAGAAGATGGTGGAGGGCTACACCAACCCACTAAAGGAAGATAGTGAGGGTGGCACTACCTTGGCCAATTATGGCTAGCACTTCACCTACTCCTCCTCTCTTGGTTATAAATTGAGATGAGTGAGGAGGGGTTTGTATCATCAGAAATTGAGAGTGAGAGCTGTGAGTTGAGTGAGTTTCATCTCCTCCTCTGTATTTGTATTTTTGCTCCATTTTAGTGATAATTCTCATTTCTGTCCGTGGATGTAGGCATTGGGCCGAACCACGTAAATATTGTGTTCTCTGTGTGTGTGAGATAATTCTCGGGGTGTCTTTGATCCTAACAAGTGGTATCAGAGCCTCGTTGGTGGCGTTTCGGAACAAAAACAACATGTTGTTCGAAACTGCCCAGAAATCGTATTGCTCGAAATCAAATTTTGAGCATACCAGGAGCAAGGGCTCGACGAGAGGAGTCCAGAAATATAAAGCAGACACCCAACGGAGGCCGGACGCGCCCTCACGCGCCCCTGGAAGTTGGCACGTGAATCCCAGTCGCTCCACGCGCCACCACGCGCCGTTCAGGCACCCGGCGCGTGATCCCAATCTCACCCACGCGCATTAGGTGCAGTATTAAGCAATCATGAGTAACTGAAGACAGAGACAGAGTAGGTCTCACAACTAGCATGCAACGATATTACATAATTCATTATGAGTCATTTCTAAAACTCACACTTTAGTTAAGTTGCTTTAAACATCCACTCCGTTAAGAAGAATCTTGGAGTGAGAAGACTCTAACTACTATTACTCTTCTACTGGGGATTCTAAGAGATGTTGTTAAAACATCATATTATCCTAATACTATATGAAAATTACTCTAATTTATATATCTATTCTTATATTTATATTCAGATGATTTCAGCGCTTCTCCTCTGAGATAATTGTGTTCCTATATTAACAAAACTGTTTATATTCACGCACTTGTGATCTATTCACTATTATATATTTCATCTCTATCAGGGTATGTCTGATTATTATTGTTAAGTTTTGATATTTTTATTGTGAGTTATTCTCACTTGTGCCAGTATTTCGTGGAAGTATAGTTAATATATTCTGTACATATATTAGCTATGAGTTATATCTGCTATCAGCATGTTTCGTTACATTAAAGATAAATTTCGTATCTTCACATTCTAGTGTTGCCAGGGGGTTCTTCACGTACACAAGGTATAGAAAATGTCTGCAAGCAAATTGTGCAACAAACTGTATAGACCTTGGAATGAGGAAGTTTTGACAAGATGTAGTGTTGTCTAATATGCCAGTCGAAGGTACAAAGAGTAATACATACCATACTCAAGGCGTATGATTGAGCAAGGCTTTCATCAGGAATGGGCCGAAAACGATTGCACATGAACGCAAGGAGGCATATCCAAGGTGCACAGATCTGACCAGTGAAGTACAATCTTGAAGATATGTCAGTAGCAAAGAAACAGTCTGTAGTAGAGACTATTGCAGTGAAGAAGAGAAGTTTTTTTGCTTCGCGTGTATAGAGACATTTTGCATAACCTCTCAAAAGATGCAGAAGGGAAGGGATCAATCTCAATTCGCAAAGTGAGCTTTGCAATGCACCTCCAATAAGGGGTGCAAAGCACTATGCACGGAGTTGCATAGTGGTAACCCTTGTACAGACCGGTGGAAGGTTTCTTGGCAGAAGGGGCTAAGTCTGTCAACATCAGAACGGACGTACAAGTAGACAAACGCGAAACATCAGGGTTGCAGCACAGACAACGGC